TTTACCTTCATATTATTTTAATGTTTAATTAATTTCTTTATTAATTCTTTCATAATTTTACATTTAATCAAAATACTCTATTTTTAATTGATTGACTTCTACAAACTTTTATTTTAAATTAAATAATTCTTTTTCTTTCTATAAAAGATTATTTCTAATTTATATATTATTTTCTTATAATTCTTTTGTAATATTAGGTTAAACAGGAGATTAATTAAAATTTTAATCAAAATCTTTTCTTTTCAAACCTAAAATTTGTACATTTAAATCATCTATATGTTTATTTAATTTTTCTGTTTATTCATTTTTTCTTGCACATAATAAACTCATTTCTTCAGTATTTTTTTTTAATTCAGCAAGCTATTTCTTTAATTCTTGTGTTTCTTAATCTTTTTCTTCATATTTTATATTCAAAGATTAATTTTATTGTTATAATATAGATGTTTTTTTTAATAATGAAACTCTTTCTTCTGTTAATCTATAGACTTCTTATTCATATTCACTATTTATTTTTTCCTTCAATTATGTTTCGAATTCAGTTTTATTTTTTTAACTTTATTATAATTACATTTATAAATTGTTAATTTCAAATTTTAAATTGCTTATTTCTGAAAGCTATTTAGAAATTTAATTTCTATAATTAACTTCCTTTTATTCAAAAATTTTCATATTGTTTTCTTATTATTCTTCTAATTATTAATTAAGAAATTAATTATTTTATTAATTTTTTAATTGAACTTTTAAATTATTTACAATTGATTAATTATCTAATTCTAATTATTATTGCTAATCAATATATCTTTAAATTAATTATTATTATTATTATACTTTTTCTTCTAATTCACTTATCATATTATTCTTTTCTTATATTTAAATTAAATATTTATCAGCATTATCTGATTTAATTGAACTTCTTGATATTCTTGAATTATATGCATCAGATTCCATATCATAATCTTATTTTGCATAAGTTACTGAATTTCTTAAATTTAACAATTCCTCTTTTTGCTTTTTAATTGCTTAATATAATTCTTTAATTTAAATCTTATTGACATCATATTTTTCATTTGATATAACAGATTCAATTTTAGAATTAGAATTATCTTTTACAAGACCAATAAATGAATCTAATAAATATTCTAATGAACTATTATTAATTGATGATCTTTATTATTATTATTATTCTTTCTAATCCTATTATTTTTATTGTATTAATATTTATGATTATTAACTTAATTATTCTTTACTCGTTAAACTAGTTCTATGCTTTCTTTTCTATTGATCTTCAAATTATAAGAAAGTAGTCAATTATTCTAATTAAATATTCTTCATAATTTAATATGGTATTTCATCAATTTATGCATCTGCAAAAATCTTCTATAATTCCAAACAAATATTTGCTAAGAATTTTTCATAAATAGAAAACTATTTCAATAAAATATATATATACATCTCTATTGATAAGCAATTAATTAAAGAGAAAATATCCAACATAAAATTCTATATGATTAAACATAAGAGTTGTTAAGATATCAGATGAATAAGTATCTAAAAATACTTTAATTTTTGATTTAATTAAAGAATCAATTGTAGTATTTGATTAGTCTCTCATACAATCCATTAAGAATTTAACTTCTTAATCAATTGGTTTACTTTCTTCTGTATCTAATTTATGATATTGAAATCTTTAAGGTAATACTTTTTAGTGTAAAAACAATAATAATGTTAAACATATAGCTTCATCACAAAAATATAAGATATAAGTTGTTATAAAGACTAGATTTCTTGTTAATCTTACAGGATTGGATTTAAAAAAACAATGTAAAACATTTGATATTTTTGTCAATATAGAATTTTCCTATTCTCCTGCACACATTTTATAATTCCAATCATATAAAGAATAATTTAAAGTTTTCTTATTCTAAAATCGATTATAATCGATAAAAATACCTCCTTATAATATCTCTATAGATTTGTTTATATTTAATTTTTTGCTTCATTACTAGAATTATTCAAAATCTTAGGTAATTAATTTTAATATTCTTCTTATACTTTCTCTATTACAATACTAAAAATCTATAAAATTATACTCATCTCCTTAAGCTAAAAAAGCCCATCTTTTTCCTATTCCAGATAATTATCCAAACTTGCATTTCTCTACTTCCATTTACTAAGTTTGATGTTTTGAATCATCTTTACAATTCTTACAAATTCTATGAGGGGTTTTTAAATCATGAGATGGAATGATTGCTTTATCAGGACCACAATTATAGCAGACATATCTTTGACATCTTTTACATTAATGTTATTTGTGTTTCCTTTAATAATTATAAAAACTAGATAATACCAATCAAAAGTTTATTAACATAATTCACAAGCTTCATTTTTATTAGTTGAACTTCCAACAAATGTTCTATAAGTGAATTTGGAACCAATCTTTTCCAACATTTATATATATATATTATGTATTAATATTTATAATTCTGTAATGTATAAAGAATATCAAGTTATTACTTTCTTATTTGAATAATATAAATATTTTTATTAAATGTCTTAAGATCAATGTTATGATTAGGGATTATCAGGTTAATCTTCACAATCACCTTCTAATTATTAGGTTTAGAAAAGCATGAATTAATTTTCTATTGATTTTTTTATAGAAAAACGATTTATCACTTAAGAGGATTTGAAACCAATTCTAGAGGATGTTAGAGTAATTGATTTTATAATAACATCATAGTGTTTATATAGTGTTAATTCAATTAAATTGAATCCTTAGAATCAAATTCCAGCTTTAGAAGGTACTGCATTTTCTATTATTGATCATGATGAAAATAAATTAAAAGCAAGATGTGATGCAGTTTATAAAATACTTTAATTAATAGAATAAAGAAATAAATAAAAATTAGAAGTAATTATGTTGATTCCTGAAGGTAAAATCAATAATTAGTTTAGGAACTGTCTCATATGTGATAGGAACCTAGGGAAAATAAATAGAGCATATTAAATTAGAGACTAAGGTTCATCTTGTAGTTAATTAACCAATCTATGAATTTTAATTAAGAACAGTAACAATTATTGGTAAATATTAGTTAAATATTATAAGGTGAGTCTAGTAGCATTTTTAATGCAATTAATTTAATAATAAAGTAATTGTAAGAAAGAGGAATTTCAATTGAAGATTATGCTAAAAAAGCTGAACCTTTAGATCCTAGAAGAGTTATAACAAAAGTATTTATAATTAATATTAGAGGCCAAATTTGCATTTTAGAGTATGATAATAGAATATATATTAAAAAATAAAGATTTAGAGAAAAAATATTTAGTAAGATTGAAGGGAAAGGGAATTAATGAGATAAAAATAAAAGTAAAAATTAAAAGATAATTAGAAAAACAAATTGAAAAAGGATGAAGCAATTTTATAAATTGATGGAACATTATTTAATGTTTAAGAGGCAATTTAAAATATAATAAAGAAAGTGACTCAATAATTCAAGAAGATTGAATTTGATATAAGAATTATAATGCCAGCTAATTTTGCATCTAAATTAATTGGGGCTAGTAAATAATTTATTTATTATATATAATAGAAGGATGTTAAATTAAAGAATTAGCCAATAAAGCTAGAGGTGCTTAAATAAAGGTACTTTCAGATAGGGATGATACAGATATTGGTTAAGGTTGAAATTTAATAGAATATTAGATTGTTTGGTATAAGTAACAGGATCGATGGAAAATAAATAGGAAGCAACAATATTGATTTTGGAATAGATTGAATGTTTCAAAAATGGAGGCCCTGTATATAAATAATTAATAAGATCCTTGAAAGCGGAAGGTACATAAATGAAAACTTTGCATAATAATACAAAAACTCAGTGCAGATCTAAGACATGAAGCAAAAGAGGTTTATGTGGAAGAATTAATTAGGTAGACAATAATCATCTTCTTCGCGTTCAGATAGAAGACAGAGATCTAGGTCATCAAATAAAAAATAAAAATATATGAGAAGATCTAGATCATCTAGGTAATTATAAATAATAATTTAGTTCTATTAAGTCTAATAACCGTAAATTGAAATAATAAGTGCTTAAGACCAAAATTATTGTTAAATAATCACTGATAGAATTAATAAATAAATAAGTAATTCGATGTTGTTAGGACTTAGATGTTAAAATCAAGACTTTTCCTTCTGTATTTTATATAATAGATAAATAGGATATAGTATAGGAGGTTATTGTTAAATTAAGTGGAGATGTTAGAAGTTGCATAACAGTTATCTAATATATATTAAATGAGTAATGTAAATTATCCAAGAGATGAAAGTAAAATAAAATAATAAAATATTCTCAACATATATTATATCAAAATATCATTTCATTATATAAAGTTATCCAACTCAAATTAGGATATAATTTCATTAATATCCATATGTTTATTTTAAACTGAATTCAAATATGTTTATACAATTTATTTAGCCGTTTCTATACCCAATATTCTAGATCCTAAAGATATTACGTTACAGCCAATTTGAGCTGCTTATTTTGCAGAATAATAATCATTAATTTATCCACATCTAATACCTTTAATTTTATTAGCCATAATTGACATTCCAACTCCACTTCCGCATATTAAGATTCCTAATCCTTTATTTCTAAATACATCTTAACATAAATCTATTGCTATTTCATTATAATCACAACTTTATTTTGTATTAGTTCCTTTATTTATTATATTATATTATTGTTCTTTAAGATTTTCTAATATTATATTTTTGTATTCTAATCCAGCATGATCATTGCCAATATATATTTTATATTAATTCTTTTTTGAAAATTAATAATACGTAATTGTTCTTATTTTGTTAATGGAATTATTAGTTGATTTTATCATATAATTATTTATAGAAATTAGTAATATGATTTATAAGCTTAATTAATTATGACGTATGAAATGTTGCTATTACTTAAATTGATTGTTCAATTAATACTTTTTAAAATTAAATGTCTGATTTTATTCAATGGACATATGATAACAGGATTTAAATCTCAATTGACTTAGCAGCTGGATCAATTAGTGGAATGTATTTTATAATTAATTACTCTAAATAGAGCAAATTGTATATCAAGTCATCCATTAGACACTGTTAAAGTTAGAATGTAAATGTCAAATGATGGTGTACATTCAACTTTAAAGAAAATTGTTTAAAATGAAGGAACAAGAGGGTTCTATAAAGGAATGTCATTTCCTATACTTTCCATACCAATCACAAATGCAATTGTTTTTTCAGTTTACGAATTCTGGAAATCATTTTTTATAGGAAATTCGAATAAATAACTAACTTATTTTTAAACGTATTATTTCTTAAGTTAATTATTAGTGCCATTTGTGGAAGTATTGCAGGCAGTTCGGCTGCATTTTTTTCATGTCCTATAGAATTGACCAAATGCAAATTATAAATGTAATCGACTGACAAAATTTACAAAAATCCAATAGACTGTATATCATAAGTAAGTTTTTATATGAATTTAATTATAGATTTATTAAAAAGAAGGTTTTAAATCTTTATTTCGTGGAATGTGTGCTACACAATAAAGAGAGATTCTAGGTTATTCAACTTAGTTTGCTGTATATGAATTGATAAAAGATTTCTTATGTAATTTGTCTTAAAAGGCTGAACCATCAACAGCTAATCTTTTGATTTCTGGAGGACTTGCTGGTGTTTCTTGTTGGACCATAGGATATCCTTAGGACGTATTTTTTTATATTAAAATATTTAGACTATAAAAACAATTTTATAATGCTAATAACCTTCCGATTAAACTTTATATAAAGTTAGATTTTATGATGGGGGTTTTCTAGATTGTTTAAGAAAAAAAATTATATCAGAAGGAATAGGATCAATATGGAAGGGATATTCAGTTTGTATTTTGAGATCTTTTTATGCAAATGCAATAGGATTCTATGCATACGAATTAGCAAAAGAAAACTTTACTTCACTTTATTAAATATATTGATAATGTGAATAAATTCTTTGTTTATATTATACTCAATTTACAAGAAAGATATGAAATCAATTTAAAAACATCTTGTCCTAATCTAATTCATCAAGTTTTTCTTTTGATTTGTTCATTCTTCTTAGAATTATTGGATTTTTTTATAATTAATAAAAAGCCTTAGCTCTTCGAATATCGTTAGATTCTGCAAATGAGCCCATGCTTTTTAGATATTATTCAAAGTTATCATTTGTGATCTTTATATTATTAGTCTAGTTAGAGGAAGATTATTTCTTATTTATTGAACAACCCATACTTATTTTAATTTCAAATATATAATTCAAATATTTAATCATATAAAGTAGAAAACATTTAATTCATTTTCTTTATTGTTGATTAGATCATTTTATTTGATGTCAGCTTGTTAGAAACGAATAATTAAAAAAAGAATTAGATTAACAAATTCCAAAAATTAATTAATAATCAGCAGTTTTAATGTAAGAATTATCTAAACTGAAAATTTAAAATAAGAGATAACATTAGAATTTAGAAAAATAAAGATAATATATATTATTATATTCATTTAATGGTAGGATCATAAAACAGAACTGTAGGTAATTTTGGTGCCTGGGAACAACTCTTGTAATATTTGATTTATAATAAGAATTCAGTAAATGGATTTATTAGATCTTTATATAATTTATAACTAATATGATCCATGTCTTCAGCTAAATGCATTACACATTAACAAGACTTACAATTTTCTAATATATTATTTAATTATACTATATAATTCTTGTGCTTAAGTATATGGTATAATGTTATCAGCTTTACCATGTAAAATAAAAGTAGGAATCCTGACTTTCTTAATTTAATCTAAATTATCGAAACGCTATCTGATAAGATATTAAGCCCATGACCCAACATAATCTCTAACAGCAGCTTTTAAAGAAGTAAATGGAGACATTAATGCAAGACATGCTGGTTTATATTTACCAGCAATATAGGTGGCAGGTCCACTACCTATACTCCTTCCAAATATAATAATTTGATTTTCTGTATAACCCAATCTTTTAGTAAGATAATTGTAAACATATTCAGCATCTTACAAAATGAATTCTGCATTTGGTTATTCATTTTTATATTTACCATAACCTGGATATTCCATTGCTATGGCTGATACCTAAATTGAAATATAAAAATACATGTAAGTTATCTCTTAAATGAATAAGAAACTTATATGATTATGTTATGTCTTCGCAATTAGCATGGAAATATAATACAATATTTGGAGAATGAATTTTAGAATCTACATACATACATGGAATATATCCAAATATATGATTTGATTCTCTAGAATTTGATCTATTAAGAGTTGGTTCATCTGGGACAAAATTTGCTTTCTTTTTCTCAATTAATTCTTTAGGTAATATAATTATAGGCTGACTAAAACAGATACTTTTTTTGATTTTAGTTTTTGGATAAAAATTACTCAACTTTCTATATAATTAAGACTTTTTAGCAGTAATTTATATGGATTGCATGTTTAATTATTGTAGTTTAGATGAAACATCAGGACTTCCCTCATTAGAGTCAAATGATGGTGAATTAATTTCACTAGTTTATCTTCTTTGCTATCTTTAAGTGACAGGTTTGCATGGAAAATTAGGAATTGGTTATAATTGAGATTCACTACTATAATTAAAAAAGAGTTACATGGGTTCTTCAATGAAGTTATTTTCATCATCTTCAGATTCCAACTCATTCTACTTGAAGTACATACCTCTCTTTTTGGTTGTTCTGGGGACATAATTTAAAAAATTTGGATATAATTTTTTGTACTTAGGAATCCATAATATTTATCCTTATTCATGATCATTAGATATTTCTTTAGGAGCAGGGAAAAAAATAAAGTCTAGGTCCATTAATTTATAATATTGTAATTATTAAAGAGAGTGAGAGTTAATTAAATGAAACGGGCAATCAAACATTAATAATTCATAATAAGAGTAATGTGCAACTCATTATTTTAAGTCAAGTATATAAACTATTAAATGATGAAGCATATATTACTTTAAAACTATTATAAGGTTATACCAAAGCAAATTCATAGATTGCAAAAATATATTATTCTAAAGAATTTTGCGACAGATAGAAAGAGAAAGTGTGAAAGAGTAGAATTTGAATTATGAGACTGAAAATATGCAAATCTTACTTAAAATTTTTAATTTATTAGTTATTATTATGAATTAATATTATATTATAAGAAATCAAAAGATTTTGAACTAATGAGTGTAGCTAATAGTATAAATACTATTATTATATTTTGAGATTTAATAAAATCAAAAGAGATATAATCTAAATTTATTCTTATGTTTTTATAAAAATAAATACTTTTAGAAGTAAGGATAAAAAAGAAGATGATAAATTAAAAGTAAATGTTTAAACAGTAATGGCAAATTCTATACAAATAAAAAGAAACAAAAATATTTATTATGGGAATTTAATAATAAATACTGCGTCATCCTAGTCTAATAACCTATATAAAAGTATCATACTTTAAAATCATCATTATTCAATAATAAAAATTAATGAGAGGATTTATAATACGCTTTGCATTTGCTGAATAGGTCTCAATCCAGTCTCAAACTTATTTAAAAAGATCTTACAAAGAAGCTACTGTAGAAATGGCCATAAATCCTGTTAATCCATATCACCAATGGTTCATCAAAGTAATCTTAAATTTTATATTTTTAGCTTGATGGTAAAAGTGTTAAGACTTAGTAACGAAACATTTTAGCAGTTCCTTCTCCATAATTAGCTGCTTGTATTGCATCAGAATTCAATCGACAAAAAGAATACCTAAGTTTCAAACAAATGCCACTTATGATGTTAGCCAGAAATGCTATTGATTTGGATTATGATGCAACCAATAGAGAATACATTGAAAAAACTATCATTAGCCATTTAGAAAATGATGTTATTTTACATCGTAGAAACCAAAAGTCATAACTTCTATAAATTCAGTAACAATAATTGGATCCTCAATTAAAACTATTCAATTCTAGATTCGGAATGGATATTCAGGTTAATGATGGTATTCAAATAGGATCATTAAGCTAATAAAATAAAGTCAAAATTGAATCCTTAATCAGAGGATTAAATAATTGGTAATTAGTCAGTCTCAGTTCTTAAGCAGGTATAAAATTAATATAATTTTATTAGATAATCTAAAATCTTGTATATTGTCAATCCAATTATCTTATGGGTTAGTAGATTTGAATAAAGCTTTAACACTCTGCGATATTGAAAATTAATTTAATAAGAAGATTACTGAAACTGAAAATCCACAGGAATCAGATGGGGAAGATAACATAATTTCTATGAATGTATAAGCAGCTCAACTGTTTACATCGTTAATTTATTCATAAAGTATCCTTTATTGATATTTTGTTTATTGTGTGTATAGAATTAATAAATTATTATAGATTTAAATAAACAAATATATACCCATTAAAATCAATCATGACTTGAAGGCTTTTGGTTAAAATGTAGATATTGATTGTGAAACCCTTGTCAATTTTTCTGTATGTGTTTTCCTTTCTACTCTAGCCACTGGAGATGGACCAGAAACTTATTTTAAAGGAAGACTTTTCCTTAATTCTACCTTAGGCTAAGGTTTATATTGAGGATCCCTTTAAATATCAAAGGGTGTTAGTTCTGGTCCTAAAATACTTGTGATACATCCATGCAACATACTAAATTTATAATACTTTGTTACTTTTCATAATCAAGTAATTAAAGTAAGAATCCAGGATTGGGTCGGACATATGGTCTTTTTTATTTTAGAAATCTTAAAGCTTATTCTAAAGTGTATTGATAAGTTTTCATGAGATAGGCCAAAACTAGAGTAGCTGATCTTGAGATTCCGGCTGCACAATGAATAAGAACATTTTATTAAGATTTTAAAGCATTTTCAATGAATAAGTAAGATCTTTCAAAAACTTTACTTATTTGAGAATTCATATTATCATGAATATCTAAATAAATTTATTGATATTTTGGACCAACAATGATTTCTACTTATTAATATTTATTACTCTCTTCAGTACATATAGATAATATGCAATTTATGTTATTTGTTTCTAAAATTTATTAATTTATTAGACAATCTAAATTTCCAAGAAACAATTTTCCTCTTTCTTTTTCTGACAATATCAAATTGATTGGTTATTCACCAGGTAAAGTGTATTTAAGTAGATTGAGACCTTTCATTATAAATAAAATTTATTTTATTATTTAAATGCATAAATTAGAATGTTAATTTAATAATATTTGATATCATATTTTATAAGTATTTTTAATCATTTATTTTAATATTGATAATATTAAGGAAAGGATGAGTTAAATGAATATTATTTTGATTTTTTAAATCAATCTTGACGATCTTATAAATCTTTTTAGATGCAATAGCACAAACCTAATTGTTCACATATGACACCTTCACAATTCAATACAAATCCTTTACAACAAGGGCAACCTCTATATTTTTCATATAAATCCATCATTTAATCAGGATCTTCAGGATCAATATCAATTATTAACTGATTATATATAAATAAAGCAATACATCTTTTTATTTTTAAAGCACTTCATTTTAATATTTTTCAATGTCATTATTAGTAAGCTCTTTTGGTATAGTTTATGTTTATGGTTTATTGCAGAACGGACAATTTTAAATGCCATGAAGATGATAATTATTGAGTTTGTATTCTACACAATCAGGAGATAGCTTAATTTGAGGTTATTGCTAAATTTCTTCTTATTATGACATTAAATTATATAAATGATAAAAAAAACATTTTCAGGTATTTCGTTAAGAGATAAACAAAAATTCACCTTTAAAGAATAAAATGGTTTACTCTGTTATACATTTACTTAAATAGTTTTAATTGGCAAAGGTGAAGCAAAGATTTATGGACTTTCTAATAATAAAAAAATTTAGATTGCTTCTTTGAATGAAAAATAAAATTAATGCAAATGCAAATTTATAATGGATGAAAATAATTTTACTCATTTATTATGTATTGGAGATGAATCTATAACAATTAATGTGTTGGGATACAGATTAGAAAATTAGGTTTAGGAATTATAAGAAAATAATTATCATGAAAATTTGATTATTAAAGAATAATCAAAAGTATTAAAATAGAAAGAAGTAGATTCAAATGAGTTTGAATTATTTTCTAAGAAAGAAAAGAAAGAATATAAAAAAATATAAAATCAAAAATAATTATTACAAAAATATTGAAATATAGTATGTGTTGTGATATATTAAAATTTATTAGTTTAAATATTTTCTTTGATATGTTCAAATCAATCTAAAAATGGAGAATGAGAAATTAGCTAAAGCTCTACTTTTTGCTTTTATCTATATTCTCTACATTATTGATTGGAATTATATTAGTCATAACTTAGAATCTTGTATACAAAGAAGTAGTTCTGACTACATAGTAGATATCAACTAAATTAACAGATAATGAAATATCAAACTAGTTTGAAACTCAAATGCATTTGTTTTTTGAAGTAATTAATAAAAGTACAAAATCATTATATTTAAGATTACCGAGCTCTTGATAAAATTGCATAATTATTTACATTTGTATAATTAGAATTGAGTTTAATAACATCAAAAAGTGATTAATGTCCAGTAAACTAAACCCAAAATTATAGAAAATCAAATATTTGCTATAACATTTACAATTTAAAGAGTGGATAGGAATTAAATTAAATACAATAAAAAGACTTATACTACCATTTGAAACATTAAAGTTTATTACAAGAATTACTATTTCTTTTTGATCCTGAACAATTTATTATAGGTAATTGGTCAATTGGATATAGTAAACAATCCTATTTTTCAGCCTATTAAGCTATAGGTTATTATTCAAACTTTAATATTGCTACTAGACCATTCTACACAAATCATATAAAAAAAGCAAATTCATCTGAATATATTTTTAGTGACGTCTTCTTTAATTTTGAAAATGAATACAAAGTCACAATCTCAAAAAACCTTACAAATGATATAATTGATGGTATTGTGGCTACATAATTTGAATTTAAAATAATTAAAAAGTTTTTTTAAGAAAACTTTCTGATTCTAAATAAAGATGGATTAATATTGATTGGCAATGTTTAAATGTATTTTTAACCAAATAGAACTAATGTTTTTTTTTTTAATGAAAGTCTTACTGGTTTTAATGAAAATGATTGGAATTCTGTAAAGAATTATATGGATTACAATATTTCAGAACCAAATTGTACAACTTCAAATTCTTTATATTTATGTAGATATAATAAAATATTATTGATGGATGTAATGATATTTGCCAAATTTTTAAGGTTTTCTAATCTAATATTGATTATGTAAAATATGTTTGTTATTAAGATTAAAGAATATAGAGAAAGATAAAGATCTAGAATAATAATTGATTTGGATAGAAGATTAAAAGAATCTTTAAATTACTCAATTATTAACATATTAATTAATTGCTGCTTTGGGTACAAGTCTAATTGCCATCTTAATTGTTAGATATATTTGTAGATACATGACATATCTAGAAAGATTAGCACATTCACATTTTTAAAATAAACCTGTTGATTTTTAAGTGTATTCTTTCCTAAGAGAAATAAAAAAACATTCATAATCACAATCCACTAATATCACTCTAAATCTATCTGATTCCTACTATAAATTAATTTCATAGTTAACAGCAAGACCTTTTATAAAGAATGATGAATGTAAGAATTTTGAATCTTTTTAATTTCCATGCTCTAAAAAATAACGTAATCTACTAAAATGGAAATCTTCTATTTTGGAATTATATGATAATTAAGGGATATCTTAATAAAAATGTAAGGCTCTAATATTGAATCTGTTAAGATTATCATATAAAAGACACAAATATTGAATCTTTTTATACAAATATATTTATCTTGTTAATCTAATATAATTCCTATTTCACTCTTTATTTAAATTTTATTAATAATCCACGTATATTAAATTAATTAAAATGGAAAAAAAATAAGGAGCAGTAAAGTAAATAGTATCCTCTAATTGTGTATTAATTTCTGGACCAATTAATAATGAAACAGGAGTTCCAATGACTAAATTCTTGACTTTGTAAGGAATTCAAGCACCAGAATTCTCATTGACAGATAAAGAAAATCCAAAATAAGAGCCATTTGGATTTTAAGCAAGGGAATTTTTAAGAAAGTAAGTCTTAGGATAATAAATTGAATTCATAATTGATCATAAAATCAAAGATTAAAATGATAAAGTAATTGGAAGAATATTTAAAAATGGATAAGATATTGGGGAATTATAATTAAGAGAAGGATTGGCATAATTAAGATAATAAGGTAAACCAAGTTAAGAATATGAAAATGCATAAAATTTGGCTAAATAAAATGGAAAGGGAATATGGTCAAAGAAAGAAGAATTAGTGAAATATAATAAAATTGAATTAAAAGATGTCAAACCTAAATAATATACTTAATGTTTTGTTGAAGATGTACAAGGATTGTTTGTATTTTATGCTTACATTCCTGAATTATAAGGTTTAGTGAAATGTTCATATGGAGAAGTATTTATGCCAACTTCAGTTTCATAAGTATTGTAAAATAGAGCAAAATGGACAATCTAAGAGTTAATTCTTTAATAAGAAGTTACTTTGACTGTCCAAGGATAAGATGAAAAGTTTTAGTCTTTGAGAGTAGATATTAAAAAGAAAGATTTAGATATAAAGAAAGAACTTGTAAGTTTAGGATACTTTAGATTATCACCAAATGCATTTTAATTAATAAATGATTAGAAAAGGTAATATATTTTATCTAATTTTTTTTATAGATATAATGAATTAAAAGAAACTTAAAGTCAAGCTGAGATTAAATTGATAGGAATATGGAAGGATGCTATGAAATAATAATAATAATAATAATCAGTTGTCTTATAAGGAGGTAAATAGACATATACAGCCAAAATTATTGAAGTTCATTCAGGAGATTAATTGACTGTGATGAATGTTAATAATAGATAATAATCAAGAGTATTATTGGCATCCATTAAGGCTCCAAAATATTCATTAAAAGAAACTCAACCATTTGGATATGAAGCTAAAGAATTTGTTAGAAAACATGCTATTGGTAAAATAGTTAAAGTAGAAGTTGAATATGAAAAGAAAATTAAACCAAAAGAAATTGAAGGATTGGCTGATGAAGATGATAAGAAAAAATTATAATAAGAATTAAATATGATATTTGTTAATATTATATTAACTGAAGATAATGATTCAAATTTAGCTGCTTTAATTGTAGGAGCAGGATTTGCTACTGTTTAACCTCCAAGAGGAGATGATGGAGTTTCTAGATATATAGATGAATTAACAGGTGCTTAAGAGGCTGCAAATAAAGCTAAAAAAGGAATTCATGGTAAACCAGTTTAATTACCAAAAATGACAGATTTATCTGTTAATCCTAATTTATAAAGATCAAGAGATGCTTTTGATTCTTTAAGAACATTAAGAAAATTATCTGGAGTTGTTGAATTAGTTTTAAATGGATCAAGATTAAAATTAAGATTCTAAGAATAAAATTATACATCTATTGTTGTACTTGCTGGAGTTAAATGTTTACCAAATGAATAAAATTTACCAGATTATTAAAAATTCTCAAATATTGCTTTGTAATATGTTAAGGAAAATGCTCTTCAAAGAGATGTTGATATCGAATTAACATCTATTGATAAAAAGGGCATCTTTCATGGACATGTTTTCTTAGGAAAATAAAGAATTAATTTAGGATTAACACTTCTTGAATTAGGATTAGCAGTTACATTTAATCCAGTTGCAAATAGTCATGCTTATCAAGCATTATTTGCTGATGCTGAATCAAAGGCTAAATTGAAGAGAGAAGGTTTATGGGATATCAAAGGTTTAGATTTAACTATTGTAAAAGGTGATGATGATGTACCTGTTAGATCTGAATATAAATTATTGAATGGAGAAGTAAATAATAGATTTATATTATTAGTTAAAAAAACTTGTATTAGTTGAAATTGCAGATAGTAATACCCTTTACTTTTAAGATCCAACTGATAAATTATTAGGATAAATTGAAAAGAGTCTTGGATCATTTACAGCTATTGAAGCTAATAAATTAATTCCACCATTCAAAAAGGGTTTGCTTTGTGTCGCTAAATTCTCAGTTGATGGCAATTGGTATAGAGCTAAAATTACAAGAGAATTAAAAAATAGATATGAAGTCTTATTCATTGATTATGGAAATGTTGATATTGTATCATAAAATGATATCAGAAAAATTCCTGAGAATCTTGCTGCATTACCTCCTTAAGCTATTAGATGTAATTTAGCTTATATTACAGGACCATCAATAAGTCATGAATTAGGCAATAAAGTAATAAATTTTAGTAATTTAAAGGTTGGATAATTCATTAGAGATTAAATCTTCGAAAAGGAAGTTGTTGTTTCTTTTGAATATTAGGATGATATAAGTAAAGGAGTTATTGCCTATTTGACCAAAGAGAATTAAGCCAATAAATCACTTAACATTCTATTGTTATCTTAGGGATTTGCTAAACTTGATAAAACAGTAATATGAGATATTAATTTATAGGCTCCTCATTTACCTTAAAAATTAGAAGAATGGGTTAAGGCAAGTTAAGAGGCTGAAAATAGTTGCAAAGGTTTATGGAATTATGATGAAGAAACTGAGTGATGAATTGTATTTTAAAATAATATAATAAATTTATGTAAATAACACCTAAAGCTATAACAGCACTTTCTAAATTATTGTCTTAGAATTCATCAAATAATGTAAGAATTTTATGATTTAGTAAGAAATAAAGTTAAAATAATTCAAAGCCTAAATCGAATTAGAATAGTAAGAATTGTAGATCGATTAATAATAATGAATTCAAAAATTTCATCTCTAAACCATCTTTATCAAATGAACCCAATTATAGTGTTAAAAATGAATTGATATCTGTGCTTAATAGTAGTAAAGAGAAATCCATTAAATCAAACTTAAAACCACATCATAGTCTAAATTATCTTTTATTATCATAATAATAACTATCTGCTAGAAATAGTTTTCAAAAAAAGAGACCTCCTTAAATTAATGTAGAAGAAAGCACTGACATATAGAAACATCCTTAGAGTGCAAAGAATGTCAATTAAATGAGTCCTTTACATTATTGTCCTAATTAGAAATCATAATAATCTTAAAAATCAATAAAATATCCTAAAGGTATGAATGTTTTTAGCTCATTAAATGAAATATTAGGGTAATATGTTCAAAAAAGGAATTATTAAAAATGTAATTTACAATACTTTAATTAGAGGCTGGGACAGGAGAAGGAACGAAATTGGTTGTATGCAGATCAGCAAGAAATTAAGAATAAAAATAAGAAAAATAAATATATCTATCTGAAAATAAATAATAGTAATCAAATTCATAATATTTTGATTCATAATAATTGAATAAATTATATTTGTATGCATCACAAATTTTGAAAGCATATTAAACTAAAGAAATGATTTGGAAACAATAAAAATAAAGCTTAAGAAGTGAGATTATATTTCTAAAATAATTACTACAATAATAAGAACAGTAATAAAATCATGAGTGATATTTATTTTTTTTGTAATTTCAATTAAATTTATATTAAATTTACTATTTATTGATTCTTAAATAAAATTCCTAATCATCTTCCAAATTTATTATTTTATTTCATTTTTTAAAGTTTAGTTTAAAGAATTAAATATAATTTTTAAAAAAAACTACTATATATGATCACAATGACGTCAACATAGTAATGAAAAACAAGAAAAAAAAAATTTAAATAACCATTAGTTTAATGAAATATATTTTGTTATTGTTAACTATTGGAGTGTTTTAAGTAAACGCTGTAAATTGGGCATTATTGGTCTCAGGTTCAAATGCATTCTACAACTATAGACATCAAGCTGATGTATGTCATTCATACAAAACATTAATTAAAAATGGTTATTCTCCTGAAAATGTGATTGTTTTTGCATATGATGATATTGCTTAGAACAGATAAAACATCTATAAAGGGGCTATCTATAATTAACCTAATAAAGATGGATTTTCAGATAATGTTTATGATGGTTGTGTTATTGATTACTCTAAGACTGACGTCAATCCAACAAATTTTCTCAATGTATTGAAAGGAAATTATGATCATTTACCTGATGGTCATAAATTTATTAATTCCACAAGAGAAGATAACATTTTCGTTTATTTTTCAGATCATGGATCTCCAGGTTTAATTGCTTTTCCAACTTCTTATCTCTATGAATAAGAATTAATGGAAACCTTTTAATATATGTTTGAGAATAATAGATATAACAAACTTGTTTTCTATTTGGAAACATGTGAATCTGGATCAATGTTTGTGAATCTACCAAAAGATCATAGAATTTATGCATTATCAGCTGCTAATCCTTATGAATCATCTTGGGGAACATATTGTCCACCTGACGATATTGTAAATGGAAAGAATCTTGGAACATGTTTAGGAGATGAATTTTCAGTCACTTTCTTAGAAAATGTGGATCTTGGAGATTTTTCATAGACTTTATAAGAACATTTTGAATTTATCAGAGATAATACATTAAAATCTAATGTTATGCAATGGGGTGACCTTTCATTTACAAGTGAAACTATTAAAGAATTCTTTTGGGGACGTAAATTCCTTGAAAAAAGAAAGATGTGCCCCAAAGATGCCTTTTTTATGAATGATGAAGTATTTAAAATTTATTAAAATATAGAATGTTTCAAGATGGGATTCAAGAGATAACAAATTGTTATTTTATTAAAATAGATATAATCAAACTGGTGATTTGGAAGACTTCATTGAATTAGAAAA